AAGAAGCCCGGGAGATGTTTTTAAAAACATAATTTTCCTATTTTATAATATTATTATTTTGTCGCAATATTGTTAATAAAGAAACAATTTTTACGCTTCCGGTTTTATTATTTAAAATCTTTGGTTCTTGTAGATTTCTTCCTTTTTATTCTTCAACCTTGCCTCTCTCTCTCTCTCTCTTTCCCTCTTTCTTTCTCTATCTTACTCTTTCTTTTTCTCCTTTATGTTTCTTAAATAATAAATTTTATTTTTGTTTCGTATAAAAAACTTAATCTTAAAATTTGAAAATTACAAAATAATTTGCTTTTGTTGTTTGTTACAGTGAAAATTTTAATTTGTTTGTTTCTTTCATTCTTTCTTTTCTTCTTTTCTTTCTTTCTTTCTTTTCTTCTTTTCTTTCTTTCTTTCTTATTTTATAACTTTTCAATCGGAAAAAAAGTAAAATAAAATAAAATAAGAATTTTTTCCCTTCTTTCCCTTCTCTCTCTCACTCTTCCTTTCTCTTTCTCTTTTTAATTTTTTTGTTTTGCAAAACTTTTACTTAAACCTCAATAAATACACACAATCTCGCTTTTTATTTGCGTTATCATTATTATTATTATTATTATTATTATTATTATTATTATTATTATTATTATTATTATTATTAATTGATTTTTAATAGCTTTAATATAATATTTAAAAAATAAAAAAAAATAAAAAAATTTGTTTTATAATTTCATCTTTATTAAAAATATTTTTCAATCGTTTGACTCCTTCCCTTTCCCCTCCCTTCTTTTCCTATTCCCTCCCTCTTATCCCCTCCCCCTTTTTCAAGTTTTTTCATCGTTTTGCGATTTTTAAAGTTTTTAACCAAAATTTTTTTTGTTTTTGTTTTGATTTCTATTTATTTCCCACAATAAAAGTTTGGATTTTTTGTAATTTTTATAATTTATAGTCTATAAAAATATAGTAACGAATAATTTTAAACGAAAATTCAGGTTAATAAAATAGAAAAATCTTTTTAAAAAAAAAAAACGTGAGATTTTATAAATTTATATATATATAAACAAATATTATATAAAGAAGAGCACTTTAAACAAAAAAAAAAATTATTTATTTAAAAAACAAAAAAAATAAACAAATATTATAGTACTATAAAACTTGTAGTGTTGTTGTTGCTATATATAATATTTAAAAAGTTTTTTAAAATGTTTACGAACCTTTTAAATATTTCATTTTTTTTTTTTTATTCTCATATATTGAAATCTTATGTTTTTTTTTTTGTTTTTGAATTTGATTATTCACAGATTCTTTTTTCCCATTTATTACAGCACCTTTTTCCCCGCTCACCCCACCCCCATTCCCCCTTTTTCTTACGCTCCCACATTTTTTTTTTTGTTCCAATTTTATTTTTTTTCTCTCACCTCAATAAAACGACAAATTTTTTTATGCTTTGAGGGTGTGTTTACCTTTGCCAATTTTCAAAACTTATCGCATAATTTGTTCAAACAACCGAAAACGTTTTTTTTTCTTTCCTTTTTTCTTTCCTTTTTTTCTTTCCTTTTTTTTCCTTTCCTTTTACGAAAGAAAAAATATTTTTTTTTTTAATAATCCGGTGTTTGACCTTTTATTTTTTTTCTTTTTTATTCCAGGGCATCAATAAGGTGTAAAAATAAATTCACTTTTTCTCTTCTCTCTCTCTCTCTCTTGTTCTCTTTATTATTATTATTATCACGACAATAAGTCTTAATGTTTGTGTTGGATTATTTTTAAACATTCATTCCAGGTTTTTTATACCCGCCGATCCCTAAGGTATATCTTTGATACCTGATAAATAGGTTTCGTATTGTTATAACTTATGACGTCACGAAAAATCACGTAATTCTCGCCACTGAGTGAGACCATTTTATTCGATTATTATTATTATTATTATTATTATTATTATTAAACCGGAAA